GTTATTTTCATTTTTGTAAATTTGTACACGTCCATTGAGGCCAGAAGCGTTCGACACATATATTTTCTGAGCCCTCCGGTTTTTATCTCAGCCGGTAGGCCTCAGAAAATGGAGCAGGAGAAGGAAGCAGGGGAATCACCTTTAATAAGGGGAAAGTCTGCCGTCGATTCCGGAGGAGCTTTAGATGCAAGTAAGGGAGAGAACGTAGATGAGGAAGTGAAACGCCACCAATTAAGAGTGGAAAGGAAGCGACTGCGACAGATCTTGCAGTTAGCCGAGAAGTCCGCGAACGGACACCCGTTGAATCCTGACCAGCAAGCCAAACTGGCTCGTCGTGCCGAGGTTGAAGCCCTTATCGCCCAATTGGAGGCTTCATGTTCCGTCTCGTCCAACTGACGTTGCTTTGTGGTTCCCTCCTTCCCTCTGTATTATACCTTTGTATAACTCTCATCCTAAGTTGATATTTATATTTATAGAATTATCTCACTCCCACTACCGGTCGTCGGTGTGGCAAAATTATTCACTCGTTTTTTTCGAAAAGACTTATCAGTTTTGCTAATCACATGATGAGGGTTGTAGCCTAAGGCTGTGACGCTTGTAATTTGGCATTTTGTCTGGCTGTGCCCCTATTGAAACAGCAAATTAGGTCTACTGGAGGCCTTTCTCATCATATCAGTAGCCCCATGTCTACCTGGAGTGGTGATGTCTATTCAATTCTACCTCGGATAGGGAATGCTGCTACACGGGAAAGGTGGCAATTCAAAACGTACAAAAAACAAGCGGATACAGATTTATCATATGCGCCCTAGTAGCAGGTCATACTGACGTAGCATTCACTACGAGGGTTAGTTTAAGAGAGCAAGTCATCCTGATCATGTGAAGGCGCCGAAAAATTAAACGGAGTAAATATGACACATGCCTGTAGCTTTTTAGTACTTCCCGTCACGCGAAATAAGGTCCAGAAATCAACTGAACACATATTCAGGCATAAGGAAGGCAGAACTTTTGCACGATTCCAAGTCCAATCCATGCGGCAGAGTAAAAGTAATAGGGTAGTACTCGCTGCCTATTTAAAAATTAAAATTAACGGAGTGTTATAAGGTTACTAAATCGCTATCTTATAGGTGGTCTCGGTTTTCAGATTATTGCAGGACTTGCCATAATCTCT